GCGCTTCCCAAGCGGCGCACTGTAGCAGTGCACCACCTGGCCGGCCCATGTGTAAACAACTTCTGTGTTTCAAATTATGACCTTAGGATGGGCAGGCAGGGGGTATTTCTAAGGCAGGAGCCATTTTGATCCTGAATGTTTTTTTGTTGAATTGCAGGAAGCTCTTCGTGGGTGGTCTAGACTGGAGCACAACCCAAGGTAGGTGGGGATGGGCTGCAGGCCGGGTGCTGCAGGCCAGGCTTCACGGCCTTGGCCTTGAAGTTGTGTGCATTAGTCTGTTGCTACAATGTTGGATATTTTTAAGTTCTTCTGACATTGTATTGATTTCTGGGCAGCGGGACATTTGGCTGGGGACAGAGAGTAAGTGTATATTTGCTTAGAAACTATTAATTTGGTCCTGGTATTTCCAGTCAGAGTTACAGGGGAGACTGTAGACTGCAGGTTCCTAGCTACAGGCCGAGGTCAGTTCTGGAGGCAGGAGAGCTGGTGACTGTGGAGTCTGGAGGGCTAGGGTTTTGCTGGGACAGTCACTGAGTTAAGAATCACATAGGAAAAGTTTGTAATAAAGTTGACGCTCCTCAGTTACTGGTCAGCATTTAAAGTTGTCATGTTTGCATTCCCTTAAACTTTGCTCCCTTGGATGCCTGTGGGATCAGGTGGTGACTGTTTGCCACGGCGGGGCTGGCTTGTAGCCTCCCGATGTGTGTGAGGTCATGGAGCGTGCCCTGTCCCCTCCCCACCTCTCCCTCACAGTGACTTGGTAAGCCAGTTTAAGTGTTGTTAGTTCAGACCTTTCCAGGTGAGGCTGATGAAAGGAAGAGTGTGTGTGTGTGTTTACACGCCCCCCTGAGACTTGTGCGTAACACTGTGGCTGTGTGTGTTTGTGTTTTTATTCCCAATCTCTGAGCAGAGACTCTGCGCAGCTACTTTTCCCAGTATGGAGAAGTCGTAGACTGTGTTATCATGAAAGATAAAACTACCAACCAGTCTCGAGGTTTTGGGTTTGTCAAATTTAAAGACCCAAACTGTGTGGGAACGGTGCTGGCCAGCAGACCACACACCCTAGACGGCCGAAATGTAAGTGTCCTTTCATACAGCTCTCTTGTTGTTCTTTCAGCTTAGCTCTGTCACTGGGCTTTGACTGATATTTATATTAGAGGATGTTTTAATGTGGGGTTGATTTTAAAAGGTTCATGCTTGGTGCTCAGACTGGAAACCGGAGTAGGATACAGGGTGAATTGAGCCAGCGGGCTGGGCTAGTTTATTGTGCCGCGGCTGCTGTTGCTAACACCTTCTTTTCTAGAGAAAATAGCCTCATATTCACAACTGGCTGGTTTGAAACTTCCTACAGATCGACCCAAAGCCATGCACACCTCGGGGGATGCAGCCAGAGAGAACACGGCCGAAGGAAGGATGGGTAAGGGTCTGGGGGCTGGGCGACCTCCCTGCGTGTTCTTCAGTTAACATTTAAAGGAATTACTTGCCTTCGATTTGATGTTTTTGCTTGGCACTTGAGCAGTTGAGAATTGAACAGATTTATCCAGTTCTGTAGCCAAGAAGATTCTTACTAGTCTACTTTAAGAAAAAAATGACACCTTACGCCATTCATTGTCAGGAGCCTTTCATTTTATCCCCACTGCTTCCAGCTTCCTGTATGGCCGAGACAGCTTAGCAGGAGGTTTAACTTCCCCTTCTTCCCTCACTTCTCATCTCTCTCCTGGTGGTGAAGTCATCCTTCAGCTACCAAAGCTTTCACCCACCCAGTGAGGGTGGTTTCGGCCGTGTCCGAGAGCTTGGTTGCTGGTCACTTTTACAACTAAATATAAGATCCTCTTACATGGTGACTCTCTGGGGATTCCTTGAGAACTGCACTCCTGGTGCTCAGCTGGCTGGATCAGATATACTCCTGGTTTGGTGTTTACTTGGATTTTGGGTCTCACCACCACCCACACCTCAGTTTCCCCCAGCCCAGCAGTTCTCAAACCATCTCCTAGAGCTGCATGGGAAGGCACAGGTAGGGAAGGCTCCCATCCTCGCAGGATGTTCCGCTGGCACAGTGCTGACCTTCAGGCTTGTTCAGGCACTGAACACTGGCCCCTCTGCGATGTCTGGTCAGCAAGTCGGGGCTGGGCCTGAGAATCTGCATTTCTGCAGAATCCCAGCTGCTGCTGGTTGACAGGGACTTCAGCCCCTTGGAATAGTTTTTAGTTTTCCAACTTTTTATTAGGAAGCTTGTCAAATACAGAAAAATTGGGAGAATAGTACAACAAACACATAAATACACTGCCAGGGCCCATCAGTTGTTCGTACTTTGGCAAATTTATGTGTATGTACTTATATCCATCTCTGTCTACATAAACCATTCCTGAGTACTGCAGAGCACATCATGGCTAAAAACACCTGCAGTGATTCCCAGGATCATGTTGTGTCCAGTCCACACTCATATTTCTGGAATTGTCTCAAAAATGTCTTTCATAGCTGTTCTTTTTCTATTTCAATCTAAACCAAGGTTCATATGCCATTTGGTTATTAATTGATGTCTCTTGAGTGTCTTAACAGCTTTTTTTCTTCTTTTTTTATAAGCTCAAAGAATGAATTGGCAGCTTTTTAAAGACATAATTAACATACAATAAAGTGCACAGCTTGATGAGTTTTGATCCGTGTAGGCACCCGTGAAACCATCACCACAGTTATGGTAGTGTACACTCACCCCCAAAAGTTTACCCTCTTTTAATCCAAAGCACTTGGGACAACTTAAAACTTGATATCCTTGGAAAGAAAGAGAAAGGAATGGCTAAGAGGGAAGGGGGAGGCTGGCTGCTGACACCAGGCTCCCTTCTCCTTGCCTCATGAGCTACCAGGTCGAGTGAGCGTTTTCCAGGGGCACACGCTGTTGGTGGGGTGAAGTCAGTGTGCAGAGCACTGGGGCCAGGTCAGGGAAGGTGGGAGATGAGGCAGGTGTTCCCCGAGGTTCTTTAGCTGCTAGTCCTCTTTTTTTTTT